GATGAAAATCACTCAGAGCAAGGTCTGGGCTGTAAGGAGGGTGATCCAAAACTTCCCAATTCAAATAATCCAATAAAGCTGGGATCTGAACTGCGGAAAGAGTCTTAGGCTAATGTAATTCCCTGTCAGCATGGCAGGGAATTTTGTTACTTCACAAATTGTAACTTCAAAAATCTGGTAGTGAATGCGTGCAGCAGACAGATTTTTTGCCGACTAAAATCGCATTACTGTCTGTATGCCGTGCGTGGCGGGCGATTTGTTAAATTTGAACATCTTAAAGACACAGAGCTGACCGTGCAGTTTACCTACATAGCTGCAACTGAACACAGTTGTTCCCAAGGGAGGCCGAAACACGACAAAAACACTCGTTGAGACGCACGTGTCACCTATTAGTGCACACAGCAAAACGTTCCTTACTTAAAAATTACATAATAGTGCATATATATACATAATACCTCGTATAATAGTGTTATGAATTTGTAAATATGTGTATAATTTTGTGAATATTCTTTTGTTTTGAGGCTAAATATTTCAAACGGACTCTAAATATACAATTTCGTTAGAAAATTTGCAAGAAATTCGCGCAATTCTAACGTCATTTAAAGGGAAAATAAAGCCTCATGTATTACTAATATCAGACACGGTTTGGAAGACATTTTTGCCCACTTGGCAACCATTTTTGCGACAAAATAGATCGGTTACGGTCTCCCTATCATAAAAGTTCAAAACATTGCTTCTCTGATTCGAAGATCGAATTTCCTGTTTGCTTGATTGTATTTATTCGCTTGATTCTTTAGATATTGAAAAAGAAAGAAATGACATGGCATTAGTTTAAGATTACAGAGTCCCGCAGTGGACTGATCGTTAAGACACGGTTCCCAGCAGATCACCGAAGTCAAGCATCACTGGCTGCGGTCAGTGTGCGGGTGGGTGACCACTTGGATCAGTCTGCGTAGGGACCGAGGGTGTGCGGTATGGGTCCTCGTGAAACTGTGCTACTGTAAGGTGCTCGACTTCGCACGCAGGTCGTCGGGCTACCGAAACGGGGGTGCCATCCCCTCCGCAGAGGATCAAAATTGTGATGGCATGTCTTCGGATCATACTCCGGGATGTTTCCCAGACCGTCGCCAATAGCCCATTGTGCAGCTATAGTGCGACGTAAATTAACAACAACAACAACAACTTAAGATTACAGAAACGCTGCTGTTGTTCCAGAAAAGATCTTATTTTCACTTAAACGAGTGCCTAGAGTAGATGAAGTGCAGATTATCTAGGTAGTTTTCGGATTACGTAAACAACTTCAGAAATGAAACTAATTTTTGGCACTTGAATGGATCAACCTAGTTAATCTTCACATGAGCTAGATAATCGGTTGAATCACTTTAGGGTAACATATTGACGGGCAGATCACTTAAAATGAAATTTCACTTGTACCAGAACAGGGCCGGGTGAAGTTGCTAGTTACAATTAATATTACGCTATTGGCATGAATTAAAATTAAATACTCGTGACGGAAATGAGTACACTTACAGCCATATTCTTTCCTCTCCCTGTTTCACACCTAAAACAATCTCTTAAAACCAATGGAATAATTCTGATAGAGGAAGACGTCTGTTTAACATCATCAATAATGTCAACTTCTTCAAATCAATTCCTATTAAACAAGTTATCTGGTACACAACAGGTCACGGACCTTTTCCTTCTTTCTTTCATTTCCTTCATATCTCGGATACAAACCTTTGTACCTGTGGTCAACCAGGTACACCAGAGCATTACTTATCAACTTGTCTTTACACAATATCATGGCATACACGCCTTCCGAACATTAATAATTTATATATTTGGCAAAAAAAACTTTCTTACAAATAAAGCATTAAACTCTAAATTAAATAACGTAATGAATTTTCTAGCAGAAAACGACTCCTTATAAAAATTTTAACTAAACTTGACTTTTTAAGTAATCTTGAAAGAGTTTAACAGTTTTTGATTTTGTCCTTCATTATACATTTCATTCGTTTACACTTTTATTCTTTTTCTTTTTGTTTCTCTTTTTCAATTATTACGTATATAACAAAATTCGCTTCATTTATTGTTCTTCTTGTTTCATTTGTTGTTTCATTTTTTTAAAAAAAATTAACTATTGTGATATTGTCATCTGTATTGCGCAATTGTGCTTTGCAATTGTGGTGCAGTTATGAATTTTGTAATTGTTTGCTTATGCGCTGTGTATTGTGCGAGCTAGACTTGGACCATAGGGTTAAGGGTTTTGCAAACCTAGGTACGTGTCCACGTCTGGAAGAAAAGAAGAAGAAAAAAAAAGCCATATTATTAGACGTACTATAAAGATTCTATGTGTAAAATTATAATTATCATACAGCTTACTCGGATGTAATTGGCTAGCATTTGTTTACCCTCCGATATCAATGGGTTAACATTGTAATGCAATACGTTAAAAATAAATACAAATAGGAAGCATATAAAAAATCTCCCGAATAAAAACCCATTACATGTATGTTTAAATATAAAAGTATTGCCTATAACTTCGTACAAATCATGTCATTATAACTTATAATTTCATTTAATTATTACAATATACTAATATAATGCTTGATATATTAAATATTCCATATTTATATAATATATCGTTTAATTTAACCAATGGATACACTAACAAGTACAAACCGGTTTCAGTCACATAAAAACTATAAAGCTGTATAAGTATCACCTGATAATTAAGATTTTACATAGAATCTTATAGGGTGTCCAATAATTTGGCAAGGGACTGTACACAGCCAAAATTATTTAAAATCATTTTTTATGATCCGCAGACTTTTAGATTTACAAAAGAAAATTATTCGTTAGTAGCAAATCAATCGTTCAGTTACACTTGTATTCCAATTATTTGTAAGAAACTGGCCACTAGATGGCACACTAATTTTCTTTTTAGGTTTCTGTTTGTTTCCAAAAAGAGAGGAGAGTCGAGATTATAAAAATGATGATGGCGGTATTTCGATAAATGTCCTGGTTAAATTTTATCTGTGACGTGTCGTCATTTATGTCTGTATTGTGCATCCATAGCTTTAAATAAATTAATTTAAAATGCAGATGAATCGTCTTTTGTGTGACAGTTTAAAAGTCTTTACATATTATTACACTATTGGCATGGATAATAATTATACACTCACGACAGAAATGAGTACATTTATACATCTAAACTTTTTTTAAATCCTTTTTACGACTTGCATATTATTAAATTAACGTAGGAAAATTATTCGTTTGTAGGAAATCGATTGTATTCGAAGTCAGTAATTTACTCAAAAATCCAATGAGATATATCGTTTTCAAATATCCGCTTCTAGGGTTCGAGTAAGTATTACTATCACAATAAATCAAGTCTTTGAATGGATTAGCTGACAGGCATTTAAATAGCGGAAAAAGTCAACTTATCGTTTTTGTTTTCAGACGATAATTTTTTCTTCTTCTTCGATGAAGAAAATGAGTTTTCGAGCCAAGGTTAAAAGAAGAGTGAAGTTCGCAAAATTGAAAATAAATGTTTTTGTAGAAATAAATTTAATTCATTACTGTGTGGATGAAAGATTGGAAGTGCAAATGACAACGTAGAATGATTGAATGAGAATTTAATAGATGATGGATAGGGTAGGGTAAACAGTAATCATTTTCAAGAGTGTCCCGAAATTCTGGAGAACAAAAAAAGCTAAATGCTTTTCGAAGTTATTTTATTCCTACGAAAATACATATTATTATATAGATAGGTATTTAATACATAAGGAGGTTATTAAGAAAAAATTATTTTTGAAGCAGGCGAATTTTTATAAAAAAATATCCGTTTTTTTATTTTTTAACTGTTTTTCATTTAGATTTTAAAGTAATTTGTAAAGCACATTTTATAACGAATTTAATTACAATAGTCAAGTTTTATAAGGTATTAATAAGGAAATGAAAAGCAATTTTCAAAATTTTTGTCATCGTTTTTAATCCAGCATTCATCCGTAGATATTTTTTCTTATTAGCATTTCCTTTGCTCAAATGGTTAATTTAGAGAATGCTTTTTTCATCTGAGCAAATACTAAAATGATTTTCAAAAATAAACAAAAAATATCTTAATTTTTCTAGAATTCTTTTAAATTTAACTATTAAAATAATTGAAATTTATGTTAAAAAATGTTGGAAAAATTAAATTGAAATTAAAATTAGATTAAAGAAATTAACTATCAAAATGAGGTTGTTAATTAAAACAGCAGGCATTTGGACTAAAGCAAAAGAAAAAAAAATTGCATTGAAACGTGTACAAATTGTCCTCATGTGGTGCATTGCTTTAACGGTCCACTGATTAATTACTGATGGATTTGCATTTTTCCCCCTTACATTAAATAGTTTCTAGTATGACCAACTGAATAAATGTTAGTCTTAATACTATTTCACTAATCCTATGAAATTTCATTCATTAGTAGTTCAACAGAATTAAAAAATAATTTCAAGTCAACTTGCGACGGGTTTATTGTAGCATTCAAAGAACCCTCTGAACAAATTTGACTAATTTTGGAGGTCAAAATGCAAGTAGTCAGGTTACAACGATTTTGGCGACTTTCTACATTAGAGAAATGAGGTTACTGATAACAATGGTCAACTTACACAGGGTGGTCAGTTCGACAGGTTTTACTATATTGCTAAGAAACAATGGATAAAAAGAAAGTTTTGAATATCTGTGCAATAGATTGGAAGGAAAGTTAAAGTTTTGAATAAAAAGAAACAACGATTCATAAAACGTTTTAGAGTTTGGCAAAGATATGCAAAAATTGCAGCCTTGATGCACAAAAATCACTCTAATGGCCTGACAAACTATCAAAATTAACCAAACTTGGTCTTAAACTGAACTTAAACATAAATTAAACAAAAAATTATTAAAAATATTGTTATTATAGGCTCAATTATAACTTTAGACCAACGTTTAACTATCCTCAATGCATTTTGGAATTTACCTGCTTGAGCTGGACACCATCGTTGTCCGAAAACGAGTAGACATTCAAAGCGAGCTGCATTCCTTCCATTTCACCTGTTGCACCCAGGTGCGTTTTCTGTCCCTGGACGTCCGATGGACTTCTGTTCTCCGGACTGTGTTCAAACTCCAGTGGCTCCAGATAAGTCTCGACGAATTCTCTCCTGGACATACGCATCAGGGCATCGCACATCCCGGGTATGTTGTGGCATCGCTCACTCCAAGCCTTACGATAGGCGTGGGCAAAAGTTAAAACAGCATGAAGAGTTGGAAGAAACCTGTAAAAAAGTCATTCGACTAGTAAAATCCGTATCACTCATAACACTTTTAATTTCTTAATGAACACCTCCAAATTCCCCAAGAATCAAGTTGATAGGATCAGAGAAGGTGGGCGAATCTTCTAAAGTGGGTGATAGGGGAATGTTGGTCGACAAAAGGTTGTCCAACTGAGGACGTGCGTGCTCCAACGCCTTGTTGATTGTATCAACATTCCTTTAGATAATAACAGCGTTTTTCATTCCTTTTTTATGTTTTAATTTAGTGATGAATTCACTATATCTCCTAATATGAGTTGGAGTGGCGTGGCCAAACGAAAGAGTAGATACACCGCTATGAAGGTGTCCAGGGCCCGACTTAGCCTAATTGGGACGAGGGGCAAAAACTTTTTTGGGCCCCCCTTCTGCTTCAGTAATGAAGAACCCAACATTGTGGAGGCATTTAAATTTTTCACCTAATTATAAATAACAAGAAAATTGACTAAAATCTAAACTAGCTATAAAGTTCCCCATTCCCTAATGAAACGGACTTAGTAGGCCGGGAGGGTCGTAGGACTAGGCACTAGGAGCACGAGACCTCACTCAGAGCTTCGGGCTGACGGTCGGTGTTTTCCGTGCCCGATGGGCCGGAACAATCTAGAGCAGTGATTCTCAACCACTGTGCCGCGGCACTTTTGTGTGCCGCCAAATATTAGAAATGATACAATAAAAATTATAATGCTTTTTTTTTATTATGAGTAAAGTTTAAATTAAAGAAAAATTTATATAAATATACATATATATTTTTTGTAATTTTTCCACGCTTTAACCACGTGAACATCTTTGTCTGCGATTGTCTTGTCTCTGACAATAATAAAATAAGATGGAAGTGTTTGAATTATATATGACACACAATTTTAAAATTTTTTATAAGAGCTAATCACTAAAGTAAGCTATACAATTAATAAGCAAATTAACAAAGGATAACTTACAAAAATTAAGCTAACAATTAATAATTAGCAAAAGAACTAGTTAACAAGAAATCACACAAAAATAATTGTTACTGCAAGAAAAACTAACAGTTAATTATTATAGAAAGCAAGCTAACAATTAATAACTAGCAAAAAATAAATAACTGTTACTAACTAATAAAAAATTGGTTGAAAGAAATAATTAATCCCTTAATAAATTTGCTTTTGTAGTGCATATTATTTTATTTCACATTTAAAACTGTTATCCCAAACTATTTAACACAGTATAAAATAGGTAATTAAACTACTTTAAATCTAATTTTTTTCATTGTGTGCCGTCAAATTTCGAAATCGTTAAAAGTGTGCCGCAACAAAAAAAAGGTTGAGAATCACTGATCTAGAGGAATGTTCTTTTACCTGGGGGCCCTGAAAAGCTGTAAACATGTTTCGCAAATCGCCACTTGAGGTGACGAAAAATCCCCTTTAATACACATCTAGGAAAAACAAAGTTTTTGTATTTTTCATTTAGATATACACGATTGCGCGTCTTTCCCACCTGATAGCATCACAAAAAGTTCAAATTAAAGAAAATGGCTAATAGGAGTAGTAAATTTAAACAAAAGGCTACAAAAATTTTAAAAAAATATTTTCGACTTCCATTAGGCTACCGCAAACAGCCATGGTAAATTTTCAAAATCACCAGTTTTTTATTCATCTCTGTCCTTTTATTCATCTCTATCATCTATCTCACCAGTTACTAATTCATCTCTGAGAGTTATAAACAGTAGCAAAGATATAAATAACTGGACAAAGATAAAATCTCCATTATAACCCAGATTCAGAACATGGACAAAGATAGCATCCCTGTTAACACGACCTTAGAAGTTACAAAAAATGATCAAATGTGACATCGTTATCAAAATGACGTTAAAAGTTACAGAAAATGAGCATATAAAAGATACCCATTTATACAACGTCAGAAGTTATGGAAAAGTAACCAAGAAGTAACAGCAGTCCATGTTAGCATAGCACAAAAATTACAGACAGTTAAAAATTGTTGAATTTGTATTTGGTGAGGTTAGAGAAAATGAACAAACCTTGCAGTTCTCATAAGGATGTCGGTAGAAGTATCTTTCAACACTAAATTTTCACACACCACCATTTTGTTAAAAGCAGAACTTCTAAAACCTACAATCCTGCAGTTCTTCTTCTGCATCACATGTTCCATATAGAAGCGATCGTTTTCATCGTAAAGTGTCGTCGTGTCAGCCAATCTGCGCCAGTAGTCTTCGAAAGTAGAGATTTGACTCGGAAAGGGTGACAGAGAGTAAATCTGATTTTTGTTGATATTTTGACCCAATTCTTGAAGATCAGAAAATGGCGGCATCCACGAAAAAAGCCACTGAAGACGAGAAACCGAACTAGGTGATTCTTTAAGAGCTTGGAGAACTAATTTGAAGGTTTCTTCGTGGCCTGTTAAAAGAAGAAAAATAATATCGGTACATAAGAAGTGATAGATTTTTTAATATTTTGTAATCCTTTTTTGTTTTGAATTCCTGAAAAAAGAGAATTAAAAAAATCCAAACGAAGGTAACAAATTTGAAAATTTTTCTGTCCTTTTGATGAATTCTATGGGTTTCTAACTATGCAACCAAGTGATATGATTAACTATGTGATTCTGTAAAACGAAAGATGCTCGATTTATATATTGAAACCAAATTGGTCTACCACGTACCATTTTTGTTAGAAAAAAAGATTGCCAAACTTCTAGTGAGTTTTCCGATATCTCACTTCCTAATGCATCGAGTCTCGACACTTCGGGAAGGCAGACAAGGCTTTTATCTCCAAAAATTTTGCCAAAGTCACTAAGATGGCTGCCTGATTGGCGACGGCTCGTTAACAATTTGAGCGCTTTACTTTTGTCAGTCTTGAAGCCGGTATGCATGTTGTACTAGTAGCGCCACCTACATTAATTAGAACAGAAAGTTACTTTCTTAGTCGGTTTCATTGCGTCTACCGAGATACCGCATAATAAACATATTAATTATTAATCCGCAATTGATTATTTTTGTTGTCATTTATCTAAAATCCGATCAACGTTATCTTCATGAACTCGTATTATACGAACCACGCAAACGCAATTCAAGACAAAAATATTAACAATCGGTAAGTTATCATTGTGATTGTGTTTTTCTTTTGAGAAAATAAAAGTATCACTCAAAATTTCAGACACCAATTTTCAACACTTCTTGTTTTTTGGATTTGTGGTGCAAGTTTTACATCGCTTAGTACTTTCATCCGCTTAGATCTGCAAAACTTAATTACTTGGCAGACGAAACAAATGTTCTATAGTTAAACAGGATTAAAATAAGAATTTTTCTTGACAAATCTCAATTTTTTCTCAAAAATTTTTACTTTGAGACTTCTTCCATTCAGCTTAACTCAACTTTTTTAAAAAGTTCTTCCTCCATCAAAAACTCTTTATTAACTCTTCCTCCGATAATTATTTTGCGGACAAAGAATCATTAAAGCAACCATGTTATTATTACGAGTTGGAAAGCACTCGAAATAAAGGATTGGAATGAAAGCTAAATCAATTAAGGGTAAAAAAGATTTGCTCCTGTTTTTCCCGGTGAGGGAAAAAAAACATGTTCCATAACTGGCATATTGGATTATCGATTTATTGAACTTAATCTTCGAAAGTTGTTATAAGGACTTTTCTCGTGAGAGCAGGGAATACAAAAACAACGAGGAAAATATAGATAAAAAAAAGAGCAGCAAAAAAAACCGATCGTGAGGTTTTTTTTTCCATGACAGATAGAAAAAAATACGTAAGAAGTTACCTTTTTATATTTTTATTGCAAAGGAAAGCTTGAGATTTAGGTTACGTATAAAAAAATTATAATTGAAGTTATGTTTGAAAATAAAATAAAACACTTTTCAAGGATCTTTAAAAAATCTTACTATGCATAAAAATCAAATGATGGTGTCGCACTTTTCAATTCTTGACGGTGCATTTTTATGGGCCGGAAAAATCACATGGTAGGATCTAGTTTTCCTACGTTCATTCTCATATTGGTTTGGCTGTCATCAGCATAAAATTCATTTAGTATTGTTTCCCAATAAATATTTTTGTATCCCTAATTTAAGGGTATTTACCTCTACCGCCGTTATTACGTTTTTAATTTTGTTTGTTTTCTAAATTAAGAGTTTAAGAGGATTGTTATTATTAAGATAAAGTTATTTAAATCGGTGTCTGGTCTTATTAACCATTTTACAATTATTATTTTTTGGTGCAAATTACATACTAATACGAATGACGTTAAAGAGATTCGTTGAATGATTTAGAACTTTCAACTTTTAGCTTCATGCACAAAGTGATGAGTGCAAAAATTGTACTTAAAATATATCCGTCCGTTTGCGAAGCAAATATAATAATTATAAATGTTATAGGGTAGACTATATTTGAGGGTGCCCCTTGATTCTCGCCAAGTTGTGATCGCGGTTGATCGCCTAGCTGGGCGATATTGAAACCCAATCGTGATTCTGATTGGTTTAGATTTTAGCGTTATTTTTATATGTTCAACGGTATATGTAATTTCAGAGGTTCGTTAGCTCTACGTTGGATACCGGCTGGTGAGGTTACTTTTGAATCTGGTCAATAAGATCGAAGGTATGTGGGCAGTCATTAAAAAGTATTTAAGAAAAAAATTTCACCGCTAGTCCGATATTACAGATGCCACTTTCGATTCGTATTTCGTCGAATTTATGTGGCGGTGGAGGTACACAGATTCTATTCATGATAAATTTAGACAGTATCTAACTGTTATTAGAGAATTCTGTGAACCTAAATCTGAGAAGATTCAAGCTTAATGAAGAAATGAGCTATTTTTTCCCTTTTCTTTCTGGGCCTACTTTTTATTTTTCTATTTTTGCTTCGATTCAAAATCCTTAGTTTTATTAATTTTGCTTATATTGGGTTCATTGCAAGTTTTGCCCGATGTTTTGTTGAAATTCTCCAATGTTTTATTGAAATATCATTATGTTTTGGTTGCCATTCCTGTTACCACGGTGTTCCGCGCAAACAGGAAAAGAGCCAAACATAAGTCGCCAATTTCGCCGAGGGGCACCCTCAAGTATATTTTTCCCATGTTATATATATAGTTAGATTTAAAAAATGGTTTATGTCCTCTAATAGATCTTGATAGTATCATACATTAAATATTTGGACGTAGGATGTTGTGGCAAAGTACATATATTTTTAGTTGAATCATTTCAACTGTTTTGTGCCAAGAGACAACAATTATTACGAAGCAATCATCGGGATTTGGTGAGCATCAGCGAACAGGGGGATAAGCATCCTAATAATGATAATAAAAGTTAACTGATATCAAAAACTTTCATAAGCCACATTTACCAAAGAAAACATATATAAGGGTCGCCTAAATGTGTAAAGTGGACGTATGTGATACAGCCACATTTAAAGTAGCATTTGCAGCGTTACAATTTATCACTGTAAAAAAAGATAACAGAGATTTTTTTTTTGTGAAAATTTGCTGTTTTCTGAAAACGTGAAAAAGAGACTCATTTTATGATAACAAGGGTCCTGTTTTTGTGAAAACTTTTCTCTTAATTTTCTGAATTTGAAATTAGCGTAAAATCTTTTTTTTCCAGCCAGGGTACTTTTTTAGTTATTGTATGAAAATAAATTTTGATTATGCTCTTTTTTTGTATTTTCTTTTTAAAAAATGCAAAAAAAGAGCTTAATTGTAAGGAGTTTAAGCTCTAGAATTATTAATAAATGTCGTCACCGTCTCCTTTTCTCGAAACAGAAGTTTTGTGAAGAGTTCGTTTTCCCAATGAAAAGATTGGGTATAAAATGACACCATTTTTACGGTAGAACAAAGATACCCACAACGACTGTGTGTTTAGGTTTTTGTCTATAGAAACGAAACTGGTTGAATGTCCATTTCTGTACCTTTATTTGTGCTTTATTCACGTTATTTTTCTTCATTTATTTAAGTTAATGAGTGTATTTTAAAAAGCAAATTATTGGGAAGAATACGGGTCTTCATTTTTAAAAAAATGGTGGCATTTCATTCCACTACATTCCATTAGTGGAGTTGCGTTCCACCCCGAGTCCATTAAGTCAGTAGATTCTAGGTGGGATATCATTATTGAGGATACCATTGAGTCAGTGCCTCAGCAGATACATATGTATGGGGTTACAGTGATAAATCTGGCTATTAGAAAAAATAATCGCCGATTATTAATATTAACAACAAAGCGATGGCAATTATTACATAGACTAAAACTCATTGGTAATTACTAAAAATAACTCCCGATTACTAATAATAATCGGAGCCGTGGTAACTCAGTGGATAGAGCATTCCAATGAAGTGAATCTGGTTCGAATTCCGCATCCGGCTGGCACCGACCACAGTGCTTACGTAAAATATCATCAGTGGTAGACGGATCATCAGTTAGTTTCGGGAGTTATAGTTTCATTGCCGTCAGGCTAACCGTGGCAGGTTTTCGTGGTTTTCCTCTCCATGTAACGCAAATGCGGGTTAGTTACATCTAAAAACTTATCCACGAATTTAAATTTTCCCAATGCTTGATCCAGGAGTCTTCTGGATTGGGGTTTAAAAATGACAAGTCAACGGAGTTGAACATGACATGAATCCGTAAATCCAACGTCGGGTCGACTGTTCAACGAAGGTTATAAAATAAAATACTAATAATAACGATTAATTTCATTGACTTTAACATATGCACTTATACAACTACCATTCAATATATCGCCATAATCAATCGAAATATGAAGTGTATTACACTTTATCGATAAAAATTCACTTTACCAATGACGATGATGCCAGTTTTATCTGTCAATCTTGCGGCGAATGACGTCACTAGTTTACGATAGGTCTTCACGTCGAAATCTTTTTTGTCGGATGACGGAAGAGATCGTATTGCCGAAATGCACGGATGTCCCGATTTGGCTATTTGGCTGAAAACTTTGGTGACAAAAATGCTGTATTCGTCACTGGCGTGCAGTATGGCCACACGTTCCCAATCCATGTCATGGATGACTTCGGCAAGGACCTGTAATGATAAAATTTCATTTTAACATTTATGAAATACATGTTTGTTTTTTTAAAAAAAATTGATAATATGACAAAAAAATTATTTCGCAAAACTACAAATTTCGTAAACTTTTCAAAATTTAAGGACACATTTTAAAATACGCTAAACAAAGATAATTTAGCGATTATATTTGTTGATATTATAATAGCATACATTAAGAAACTCATACAAGCTTCTAAATCTGGATCATTGGTAGATTTTTATTGAGAGTCAATTTTCGCCCTCATACCTTCGCGATGATATTCATTAAAAAAATTAAATTAAACTTCATGGAAACATTTCCTTTTACATTTGGGTATAAACTTTTTAAAGGTATAAACTATAGCTTTAAAAACTTTTTTTAAAAAAACAATTGCTGAATTGGTTTACTTTTATAAAATAAAAAGCAAACTAGTTAAGCAAAGTTTAAAAATTTAATCTCCATTTTGTGTTACAATTTTTGTGTAAAGTGTTCAAGATAAAGTTTGTTGTTGACAAAGTTATTAAGCATAAAAATTAAAATTTATATTGAATCAAGTGTAAATAATTAATAGTGGAAAACATTCAAGTTAAAACGTAACCTTGTACAAAGTGTAAAACATTAAATTTGCAGAGCAAATTGTTTAAATTGAAATTGGCACTGAACCAAATGCAAAATAGAAAAACTACAATGCAAAACATTTGTGTTTAAGTTGGACCAAGTTTTATGTATGGAATTTGCAGATAAAGTTTTCAAATCAAATTTAACATTGCGCACAGAGTTACATTGAGCCAATGTACATTTGCACGTAGAATACAGTAATTAATTTACTGGTCAGAAATTTTAAATTAATGTTTACGTTGCGTTTAATATAAAATATCTAACTTATAGTATAAAGTATTTACGTTTACATTGCATCAAGTGAAAGGCATTATATTTGGAGATCAAAGTATTCCACTTAAAAATGCTGATGCATCCCGAGTGAAATATATAAATTTATTTGCGAAAAGTTCTCCCATTTAAATATATATTTACATCACCAATTGCATTTCAAGAAGAGGATCACAATTCCTACACATGTGACCAATGGCGTCAGCTCCAGCTGATCGTTCATAAGCAAAATGGCGCGATAAAGTTGAGCTAAGTTTCTGTATCGCTCATGGAATTTGTTGAAATGCAATTCTTTCTCCTCTACGTCCTTTACTGTAACCGTGATATATTGTTGTTTTGTGTATCTGGCAACTTCGATGCCTAATTAGTTTGTCTATGTTCTACGTGGCTTCATGCCTGGCTTTGTGTTAAGTGAGAAATATATAGGGAAAGAATTGAAATCTTTATGAAAGAATCTTTGTGTAAGAATATAGAATGTATCACTGAAGAAAATTGAGAATTGATACTTGACAGGTTTGGCTAACTCGAAATAGAATGGAAAGAAAAATAGAATCAGGAATAAAATCAAGTTTGAGTGTAAATTATTCAAATGAAAGTGTACATAATATTAAGCGTATAACATGAAATTTGAATTACAAAGTATTCAATTTAGAATGAGTTAGCAATGTACAAAATGGAACAAACACTTTAAATGCAAAGCTTTTAAATTCGAATATAAATTACACCAAGCGTAAAATATTGATTTTACAAGGCAAAGCTTTGAAATTTATCTATAAATTGCACCAAGTGGAAAATAACGTGAAAATTACTTAAAGTTTGATTTACATGACACCAAGTACAAAGTAACAAAGTTGTAATAAAATGCGTTTTGACTCTAGTTCCACATATGCCGCTATCTAAATTTATATTTATGTTTTCCGCATATTTTTCATTCTTCTACAACATGCAATACAAAATGGTGTGATGTAGCAGATATTCCATATTTCAGAAAAAAAATAATGCAACCTTTAGTTCAATGTTTACTTTTTCGCATCTTTTTTTTTATTTTTATATCTCTATCTATTTTTATCACCGTTCTTTATGCCCATATTTTATGTATGAGCTCCTGGAATTCCTGATTTATGTCAATGGCAGTTTTGTTCAAACAATTCGTAAAAGTTTTTTTTTGTTGCTGATCCATAAAAATAAAGAATAGATTTTGATATCATAATGTTCTCCCTCGGCTTCAGTGATCCTAAGAAAATGATTTAAGAAAGAAAACTTTTTCTTTCTTTAAAGTACTTTTAGAATAGCGAAAATTTCGGAACTACTTCGTCAGTTATTTGGAAAGACTGGAAAATTAACTGCTGCAATGCAACTCACTGAATATTCCATCGAAGCCATGATCTGATTAGAACAGAGAACAAAAACTTTCCAAAATTTTTATTTTATATTTTTATAATGAGTAGGTTTTGTAATTACATCCTGCATAAGGGTTGTGAATTTTTTTATTCATTGCAGAAGAAGAAACGCGACGGATGACAAAATAAACCCACGACTGGGGAGAGGAAGGCGAAATTGCTATCAAGACAAGTGAGGTATTGCTTCCGATGTATTTTTTTTTTTTACACTGAATCTAAATAAATCATACCCGATTCAATAAGACAATAGATCAGAAGTCCAATCAGTACACCAACACTTTTCTTATTCTTAAATGACTAAGGAAACGAATAAAACCAATCACAACCACATAATCACAAAAATTCACACTAATAGATGTAGTTGAAAAACCTACTCAAACTGTATTGTAAATTAAGAAAAGTTTTCAAGTGCGTCTAAGAATTATTTATATGTCGTCTTGACGACTTTTTGAACCACATATTAGATTTTTTTCCAACTCAGAAGCTTGACAGTTATTTATTAATTTAATTAAATAATTAATTTATTTATTTTTGCGAAGACAATTTTTTGATGAATCTTTTCTTTTGCAAGATGCATTGGTAACTTATTCTCAATTTCCAATACCACAATTATATTATATTAAATCTCAATAATTGTTTACTTGAAATAGAGAGCATTTAATATTGAGATTTTTTCTTAAAAGGATCGTTTTTGGTATCTTGAAAAGTTCCTGAACCAAATAATATAAAAGAAATCTTCTATTGAAAATATGGGCAAGTCATTTTAAGTGGGATTCGAATATTTTCGAAAACTTTTATTGATGCATAGAATAAAAGGTGATGTTACTTTGCAATTTTTTCTTTTTAAATCTTCTCCAATTGTTATCAACAGAAAAATACATACAGAAGCAATTTATACTGAAAAAACTCACCCGGTACAATTTTTGACTTTCGTGATCCGCGTCTGTTACCGGACGTTCCTCCATTGTTCGATTTAGGAGCATGATACGGTTTGCAAAGTTTTCTTGTATTACAATATCACAGTTTATTGTAATGAATTGAATAATATTTTACTTAAAAATTTTCAAAAAATGAACTTTTCATCTTGAATATAAGCGCAATATAAACTAGAAAACGTTGCCACGTTCTGAAAAAGATTGTTTTTAACGTCTTAGCAGGTTTCTGAACTAAATTAGTAGAAAAGAATTGAAATTAGTTAATATCCTTGTTTAGCATGCTTTATGAGCATGTCACGGGTAACAATGCTTCTTGATTACATTATCGTATTGAATATTATATTAGAAACATCAAAACCTGATAGATTGTCTAAGGGTACAGAGAGGAGTAAAAAGAATAGTATTAGAAACGTCTAAGCATTTTTAGACAATCAAACGATGTTTTCATCTCGATTTCGATGTTTCATCTCGATTTTCCCATCCGAGGTTTGATAGATTTCGATATCGTTTTTTTTCCCTTCTGAATGCTAATTTGAGATCTCTCATGTGTGTACCTTTTGACTTCATTTTTGACAAGGATACGAATACGCACGAACAGGATGATTCAGTACAGCAATTAAAAATCTGAACGGGAGGTTGGACTCATCATAAGGATTGAGAATCAGAAAAAGTCATCCTTCGCCGCAGTCTGTCATATACATGTTTTTCATGTTCATACAATTATTTACATAAATAATTTTAATTTTCTTCGAATAACACGTTTTATAGTAAGAATTGTTTAAAATCCTATACAAATAGTCTAAAAAAATACTGCTAATCGAAATTTAAGATGTGGACACACAATGGATCAAGTCAATAGTCCAAATATTAAATTGCGCAAATGAGCTATTTCTATACGATTGTTTGAATGAAATTTTTGAGAATATTTTTTTGAAAACATACAATCAGCATGAAATTAGGATAATTTAATTCATAAAAGTGCGCGCCTAGAGACGTACGATGACACTTCTGGCCTTGGGTTGCTATGAAATTCCTAAACCTTATTATGTGCCTTACCTCTTCCTCGAGTTTGTAACAGCCGTACTGAATCACTTTGTTTATACTAAGGGCAGTGATTACGAATCACCATCCAATATCCATTTTTTCCCCAACGATTAAGAAACCATTTCTACTTTTATTTAATAAAATGTTAGGTTAAAGCATAAAAAATATCAATCAATTTTAACATGAATTGAAGTCTTGTTTTCATTTTCTCCAAAAGGAGAACATTTGGCGGATAAATCCAGTCATAAAAATAATCTCATTCGATGAACAGAATACGTGGATCCGTATTTGGTGAAATAAACCTGAGATTAATTTATCTGATTAAACGAAGGAAGTCATTAGTTGACATTCGATGGGTCCATCTTACCTTTGCCAGCTGCTCTGGGGGAACTGATGTATCCTGCTTTAGGGGTACAACTGGAATGATATATCGACCTGCGGTTTCTGCAACCCGTGCATCCTTCAGGCTGGAACTCATATCGACCATCCCTGCAAACACACAAAATGAATTTGATAAATCCGTGGCTTTATTACTAACGGCTGAAATTATTGACAGACGCGGGAGATATTTTTCGTGGCTAATTCTGTTTCATTTCTATTGGTAACTAAAAGTTTTAGAAAAAGTGAGCTCGCGAAAATTTACTGTAAACCGTAAAGTTTTAAATCCGGAAAATTTTACATTCAAATGACGGCAGAATTACTTCTAAACTGCATCATCCATACGACTAATGGGGTATTTTTGAAACATATGAATTTACACAAATGGATAAAATTGTGCTCTTTTTAACGCGTATGAATTACATTGATTTGTATCGCGAATAACATAAGGTTCATTATTTTTGACACATTTTCCCTGCATATCATCATCTATATCAAACATTTTTTTTATCAATGGATGTTTTATCTCCATTTTTAAAGCACATAACTTAACATTTATGAATGATATTTAATTCCTTTTTAACACTTTTATCTAACCTGACTTTCAACTTACCTGATATGTGTTTTTGTGTTCCTTTTTAACCTACATAAATAGTAATCTTCTTATGTCTGTAACACTTACAGTTTGAGCTGCGATTATTTTTGGCATGAAATTATAAAGATTATTCTTTCGAAATTCAATTTGGTATCTTTCTTTAAAACAAACTGTTCTGTTAATTTTATCGCGAAAAATAATTAATTAAAAAAAGGAATGAAACCATGATTTTTTGCATTTTAAAAGAAACAAATTAAAACCGTGGGTATTATGGTAGAGTTCATTTATTTTTCTTATTATTTTTTTCAGTTTAAGCTGAATGCATTTTTTCGTTGGAAACAAAAACGTAAGAAAACACCTATAAATTAAATAATTGATTAAAGAACAATGTATGATTTAAAGTTATTTTTATGCTGGCTTATTCATATAATTTGGAATGAAATAACGAAGGAAAACGTGATTAAATGAAACACAAGTGAATTAGTGATAGCGGAGATTCCAAATCGGGGTAAAGAATTCTTGTCATTTCCTCCTTCGAATCTGCAACAATACTGGTTTTGCTTCGAATCCGGATACAAGGGGGGTTCCGTAATAGAAAGTTAATTAGATCTGGGCCATAAGAATGGATTCTGTTGTAAGAATAAATCAAAGATTCGAAGCTTTCTGTTGCCATTTTTGGCAAGATTATGAAAATGGGAGAAACTGTGGAACACGAGAATAAGCTTTACGAATTTAATAAGTTTGTGAATGTTTCTGCCAATTTAAATGACTTGACGGCTCCCTGTAGGAAGATAAATGTAATTCATGGATTTTAGATTCCTGGAATGCTGCGATAGAATGAAATTATTAACAGTGCAGTGCTTATTGTAGAATGAGAATAGTGTTACATTTGCTGAATTTATATATAGGGCCCGTCATCGTGATTTTAAATCTAACATTCGAACTTTATTTGTTTTCTGAGATAATTTTTGTTTAACGGCTATGTTTTAGCACTGTTTCAGAAATAAAATATGAAAATAAATGAAGAGCGTTTAGTTTTTTTTAAACGGTTATGTTTTTTCACTGTTTCAGAAACAACATGCGTTAGTAACAGAAGAACGTCTAGTTGTTGTTTAACGGTTATGCTTGTCACTGCTTTAGAAACAACATATATCAGAAAAAGAAGATCGCATAATTTTTGTTTGGTATTTATATTATTTTCCCTGCTTCAGAAACAACATAAGTTAGAAATAGAAGAACGTTTAGTTGTTGCTGTACGGCTATGTTTTTTTCACTTTTCAGAAATAAAATTTTAGTATTACATTTATTTGTTATTTAATGATGTTCACTCACTGTTTCTGAAGCAACATATGTCAGTAATCGAAGAGCGTTTATTATTTCTCTAACTGTTTTTTTTTGTTTGTTTTTTACTATTTTGGAAACGACGTATGTTAGCAATAGAAGAACGTTTAGATGTTGTTTAACGGTTATGTTCTTTCACCGTTTCCGAAACAAGGTATGTTGGTAGCACGTTTAGCCATTGTTTAACTGTTATAATAATTGAATTATAATAAGTTGCTGCAACCTGAACAAGATGAGAAATTAAACAATGTTTCCATTCACGTTTAACTTTAATATCGTGCAAAGTTGCAGCAACCTTAGTAAGATGTTAAATTGAACATTGTTTACGTTCAGGTTGATCTAAGTGCTTCGTGTAATTACTTCTACCTGAAGAAGGTGAGAAATCGAACGCTGTTTCCGTTCACGATGAACCGTAATAGCCACGTAATTATGTTTCAAAATTATACAACTCAGCACACTATACTGAGTTTGTATCAACTTTGAAAGATATTACCATTCAATGCGCTCCAAACTTTTCTAACACTTATTGAAATTAGTTATTTATTTAACTGATAAAATGAATTAAAATGCAAAATTTTTAAATCTCTCAATTTCTCTATTTAATTTTAAATAGAAAAATAAATATTTGTTGAAGTTAATAATTTGATTTACATTTTATTTCTGGCTAAATATAAATAGGTTCCATTTAGATCCATATTAAGATTGTAGCATATATGAACGATATTATGGTTCAATACACTCCGAAATTTCTTAGTTTTTATTTTTATCTAAACTGGATTGTATGAAAGTAAAACTTTTCCCACAATTGGGGTGGAAGTTAAACCAAATTCCCCTTTACTTACTTATTTATACTGAAAATGGCAAAGAAGCCCATATAAATTTTATAGTGCAATTTTCATTTGTGAGGTTTAAAATCAATTTCCCGAACTTAAAGAAAAGTACTTTCCTCAAGGGGAGATGTTTCGATTTCACTTTTGATTTATGTATGGTATTTCAAAGGATTATGGAATAAATGTTCGGAGATTTATTTTTGGGGTAAAAAAAATTCGTTCTTTATTTTTAGCTTTCTCGAAAACCACCAAATGTTTTTTTTCTTTCTCCGACATAAAATGAATTTGTAATGTTACAGCCATATATAAAACCTGGAATAGTGTATATTTTCCAAACATCAAAGATAAAAGGGTAAAAAGCAGGAAAAAAAGTGTTATAATATGAAATATTTAAAAAAAAAAAGCAATCTTTTTATCTTTTGAAAAATAAATGGTGACAGTATATATCTCATCCACAAAGAAAATCTTTGTACTTTTATTGTAACACTCACTATGTTTTGTCTTAATAATAATAAGCTGATGTTTAGAATACTGTTCATTTGGAATCGTCTGAATAGACATGTTGATGACATTAGAGGATGGCTTACGTTTTATATTGTTTTTGTAAACGATATTGGGGCATATTATTCATTGATGATTAATGAGTTTGTTTACAGTTACCTTGAATTTACTCCTTTTTTTCACTAATTAATTTTATAAATTTATGAATTGTACTTCTTTCTCAAAAAGCATATTTGTGTCCCCTTTTTCAATTATAGATATTTTTTATTAATATATTCAGCTTTGTAATTTTGAATCCAACCCAGAAGCCAAGGGAACTCCTAAACTAAACATTGAGAAAAACTAGCCTTTGTAGCTTTCTCGATGGAACTAACAGGCATTCGCTTTACATGCATAAGAACTACAGGGAAATCTCCCGTGAATAGCTGTAAGCCTGTCGACGAGTAGGGAACTGAGTACGAATGAACTAGTCTTCGCTGGGATTCGAACCTGGGTCAGCTCATCGAAATACGAACTTTCTATTCCCTGATCCACCTCGGTAACTAATGTAAAACATAACATAAAAATGGTTTCTAATCAATTAATCTGTTGCAAGTTTTTGTGCTGCAAGCTCCTTAAAAAAAACTGCAGCTCGCGTTAAAGTAATTTCAGATCTTACAAAAAATGCCGTTTGATTTCGACCCATTTCTGTACCTTCAATAACTGTTGTTTTACTCATTGGTAGTGGAATATATTACATATAATTAAGGGGTCCAGGTGGATTTGATTTCAATGAGAAAGCATTAATGTACAACTTTTTTTTTTTTACCTTTTAGTTACTTAGATAAAATTTAACTCAGGATTCTGAATTTTTTACAGGAGTTTAACATAAACACAGATACTTTTCAAATACAAATACTAGTGTGAAATATCATAAGTTTTTAAATTTAAAAAAAAAACTGAATTTTTTGGACTTCGGTAAAAGTGTTGTTTGACTGAAAATAAATATCAAATATTTACTTATATTTACGTGCTAGAATGAATTTGAGCAACATGCTGTACTCACACCAGTTGCCAAGTTTTAACTTTTACCTGTTTTAGATAAGGCATAGAAGAGTTATAAAATGAGGTATTATTTTTAATGAAATATGCTTAAATGACATTCACTATCATTACAATTTATGATTATTCCCAATCGAAATAATTTTACAGTTTTAAAAAGTCGAATTTTTTCAAAACCGCTACAAAGAAGAAGAAAAAAGGTTGTTTACATATTTCTTTTCAGAAAGTATTTACTGCAATTGAATTTCTAAAAATTTATAATTGTTTTCAGAACCCTTGAAAATAGTGGAAATTAAGTAAAAAATTAGTGAAAATTAGTAAAAAATATACATTACAATGGTCAGAAAAATATTTAAAAAAAAAAAAAAAATAGTGCGTTTACGCACCTTTTGCCGAAAACGGATTAATAGGTTTACTGGAAGTCGAGTCATCTCGCGCGTCTAAAGTCTGCATCAACACTTTTAATTTATGAATGGAGTCAATAATAGTAATGAAAGAGGTGTATAGGCATAGTCAAGTGGCTTTGTACAATAAGGAGAGACAATGCCAACTTTTAGAAACTTGAGGAGTTAGCATTCCTATCTCAAAACATTTGTTCAAGACGACACATTTATATACAACATACATATTTATAACAGTTTCTTGCGTAAAAAGGCATAACAACGCTTTTTGCTTAATCTACTATTAGCAGCATTTTAATTATGTTAATTCGTAATTTTTCTCTGCTGGAGTCTTATTAAAAACAATTCCTATTTCTGAAATCGATGTACAAAAGCAGCTTAACAAATTCTAATGTAGTTAAAATATAATTAAACTGTAAAAAATGATTAATTAGTCCATGTCGAATAAAAAAAAAAATTGAGTCATGAAAAAAAATTGGAAGCTGTTAAATTTTCCAAAGCAAGGTACAACACACAGAAAATAGATAGGAAAGAAAACTCTATTAGATGTTCAATTATGCGTTTGATCTAACTTGACCTTTTTTGAATCCTGAAATAAATCTGTTTCCTTTTTTTTTTAAAGATATTTTTATTTTTTAAACCTTGTTCCTGGATTTTGTGGAGCTGGCAGTTTTCCAAAAACGTATCAATTGAAATTTATTTCTTTCTCTGAGAATAAAATGAATAGAGAGTTTGCTTCTCTAGATCAGGATTTTGTCATTCTTTCTAAGCAAGATTGATGAGAATCTTAAATAATAAAATAAAATCATTTTTATCCTTGGATTTGAATACAACATTAAAGATTCTCTATTTATATGTAATTAGCTATACTTAAACATTTTAATCCTATACTACACATAAAGTATATTTCATATTATAATTTAAACGACTGGTTATGGTAACAAAACATTCTAAACAATAACATAGTCCAATTTTTAAAAAAAATATTTTGCGGAGTATTTCGGTCTTTTAATGTAGATCTTTTACACATTAATTTGAATCAACATTAAGATCTAAACAACGTAATATCCCAAGTAAAAATTCTTGATGGTCCCATCATGAAGCAGCAATCCATGATAATTCGTGATGGTCCATGGTGGTTCCAACTATACATTTCCATGATAGTTTAATGGTTATTCTTGTTGGTTCTCAGAAATATACCATTAAAGCAATTTGGTATTTTTATGATAGCCCATCATAAATCAATCCGAATTCCTATATTGGGATACCAATCGTACATGATCGTTCCGATATTTCATTTCTAGTATACTATGGAAATTCGTGATGGCCCATAATGATTCCAACTATACATTTCCGTGATGGTTTATTGAAAATTTTGTTGGTTCAGCTGGAATATACCATCAAAACTATTTTTTTAATGTTGGACCATCATAATCAGAAGCAGACCGAATTCCCACAATTAACTGCTTTAACCTAATACGATTAAACAACCAGAATTTTACCGCGCCATCTAAGCTCACCTAATGAAACCACCTAGTTCCATATAGCTGCGTAGATAGCCGAGAGGGCTAATTAACCATTTTCACGACCGACAGAACAGGGGTTCGAGTCCCTGCGTTGACGCCACACTATTTCCCCATTCCCTTCAACACAGGAAGAGTTTCCAATGTCCTGAGCTCCTCAACTTGTGTCCTGCATTTTCCAACACTCTTCACCTAACGAAAAGCTTAGCTCCTACCCCTCTCCAGTTAATCTGACTTTCCATGATTTTGAAACCATGCTACTTGAAATGGTTAAAATTTTGTATTCATTGTTTTATAACCATACTAGTTGTAAACGGTTTAAAAACCGTAAAGCTAAAACATTTTCTTTACTGTAAAATTTACGGTTAATCGGATGAACAGTTACTAGTTACTAGTTATTTTACCATCATTTTAGAGTGAAAATTCTAACCGAGTAAATGATTTTAAAATGAAGTCTTTTATTCGAATATATGTTCGCTATTGTATTTATTTACTAAATCGATGAAATTGTTGTTTCTCCAAAAGATGGTTAATCATTTAGGGTTTCATTGCCGAAATTGGAAACCACTGGGTTGGACTATCGGTCTGGAGGGGCCAAGCAACAACTCACAGAACACATTCAACATACGTAGTGCTCATAAAATCTGTGGAATTGAAAATCCTGTGATGGATAGCTGAGCGGTACCATGGGATCAAAAATCTGGAAAAATTCCAGGAAGGAATCAAAAAAATTTCCTTCCCTTTCAGATCAATGTCTAAATTGTGAAAGTGGCCTCACAAATGAGCGGTGCTGTCATCTATCCAGGGGGACCCTTCAGATGGAGTTCGTCTTAGTGAGTGAAAATGCTATCGCAAGATCAAAAGTTATTTATTATGTGCGCTTTTTTTGCGCACACTCAGTGGAGAAAAAAGGCGTACATCAATACATTTCTGTATAAATTCTGTATTTTATACATTTTACAAACATACATTTTTGGATAAAAATACATATTTTTGTATAAATTTTGTGTATATTCCATTGTCTTAATATATCCTTATTTTAGGAAAATTTCCATACATAGAAATATTATTGAAAATTCTGTTCATCTCTTACCAATGATAGTTGAATTTTCACTTTGTTCATTGCACTCATCCTGACCGGATTTCATAACTGGAAACAAATCGGTCATATACTTTATTGCCAATTCCTTGTGACCACACGAATCATAAGCTTGAATACCTGCGTAACAACATTAATAACTTCAAAGTATTTATCATGGGTGTGATAAACTATGGAAAAAATGTTCAATGCAACATAAAAAGGTCATAATAGAACAGTTTAGTTAACAGTTTTAATAAAAGAATTTAGTTACTTTTCATTCAAACAGTTCATTATAAGGTAAAACATTATGTTCAAAATAAATATTACACTGAAAACACACATAATATATAAAAGCACGGACATTAAAATGAAAGGGTAATTAAAAAGTTTACACCATAATTACAATTGTTGCTGCAAGTTTAAAAGTATTCTAAAAGTAAAAAATTCATTTGTATTACATAAAATTTGCATTATTTTACTGCACTAGTAGTGTAAAAGTGATGCACAGTGAGTAGAACAGAAAGTAAATATCGTACAACCCCCCCAAAAAAATAATGACATTATTAAAATCACTATTATATATTGGGATATTTATCAATAATATGATTATATGGATTACTTTTAAAATGACATTAGTACGTTGCCGTGCAATTGAAAACACAATGTAAGTGCTTCACGATTCATACGATTGCTTAACAACTTTTCTCTTTCTGTTGCTAATGCTATGAACGCTAAAATAAGAATTTCAAAAAACTGATAAAATAAAACTTATTTTGGAAAACTTTTTTTGCAATATGTAGCTTACGGTGCAACGCAAACTAACGCAAACTAACGATGCAAAATACATAAAATTCTCAATTTAGAATTTTTTTTTTGTCGCTTACGTTGATTTTTCAGTTGCACGACAGTACACATCTCTCATAAAAATTAAACTTTAAACAAAACTAACAAATGCACAATATACTGAAAACTATAAAAATAATTAAAAATTAAGTTTTTAGTGTCAAATATACCAAAACTTTATTTTCATCCTAAATTGAAAAAAAATTTTTTTTTCATAAGTATTCTTGATTTACTTCAAGGCTTATTTTGAAATTCATAGCGTTTCTTATAAGATACAAGCTGAATACCCGTTCTTCGTACGAGGTGAAAAAAAAGTAAATAATCGATAAATTGGTATTGATCAACACTGCGAAATCATGCATAAAATTGAAAGACCCAATTAATAAAGACAAAATAATTATTTTTTTTTATCTATTATTGTTTTCTTGGTGGCTCGTTATTAGATTAAGAGAAACACATTTTTGGAAGTTGATCCCATGCAACTCTCGTTCAGAATCATTTGGCACGAGTCTTAATTTCTCTAATATCTCTAGAATCATTTTTTTCCGAACTAGTGTGCTAGTACTACGATTACTTTTTAACCCTGCTAAAAATTATCTTTGCTGAATTATCACCAACTTCAAAACTTTTATTTTTTGTTATTCTTTTATATTTCCTTTCGATTTTATAACATTGCCTTGTTTATCAAGATAAAACAAAAAGAAATAAAATTAATAAATAAAATTATTTATAAATGTAACTCACCAAAAAATCACTTTGAATAAGTAAGTATTTTTTTAAGCCTCAATCACAATTTTTCCTATGAATTGGCCATTTGTGAATTATCTAAATGTAATTTTTATTTTTGATTCTTGTGGACATCAAATTATTTACTTTTTTAGAAACTACTTTTTAATATGAAAATAAACGCGTGATTTCATAGATCTTTCAAAATCCTAATTCGCAGGCAAAATCATCAATGTGGATCTTGATTGGGGCAAATCTACCATAAAACCAAAGAGAAAAAAAGTTGTAAATACGGATCTAATGGTAATAATTCTTGATTAAGCAAAGTTATCCTATTATAAAACTTTTATAAAATTCTAAATAAAACTTTTTCGATAGGAAGCAGCGTGTAAACTGGTTGTTGGAAGGAGTTATAAACTAGAAAGTTAGGTGCGTGTTTTTAAACGTATTAACACCACATTCGCTACGGGTCGGCTCAAATTTGTATAAGATACATGCGTAAGTGAGAGCATTCATGCATATATTTACGTACGAACTCATAGATATTAAGATTTATTTTTATAGATGTTAAAATGTGCATCCAAATTTCACTTTCAAATTATTTTGCTTGCTTGATTTTTATAGGAAGCAATCGCACATTTTGATTTTTAAAAGAAAGTAAAACACTTACCAAACTTTATTCCAGGAATAAATGCGTCTGCAACTGGAAGGCCAGCAACATCCCCAGACTTCTGATTGAGAGCTCCAATAGCCCACCTGAGAGCCTCGAAGTATTCGACACCATCAGCAGATGATTGACCGCATCCGAATATTCCTTCACCCGGGTGATGTAGTTTGAGGACAGCACCTATGGTAACATCTGCTTCGGGTTCGATACCGGCATAATATGATTGTTCTGATGATGGACACGTCTCAGACATGAAGTCTTGTGATTGGACAATTCCTTCCATGAGAAGGAGGAACAAAATAATAGATATCATTTTACACCTCATCATGGTGCCTGCAGGAAAAAAAAAACCTTTAATTAATAAAATTAGTAGAAATATGGAGAAGCCTGCAATATAATTGAAGTTTTATTAGAGATTGACGTCAATAAAATATTTGATTCTATCGCAAAAAAAGGCTGTTCAAATATTAAGAATGCTCTTAGTCATATTAGAAACCCCTCCCTTGTTTACGTAAAAATGTCACAACTAACCGACTGACAGGTTTGCTAATACCACAATTAAATGATAGATTAGAAGGTAAATTATGATGATTTTTCCCAACTTAATTTTTTTTAATTCATTCGCTATTTTAAGAATCATTCCTAATAAAGATCCCCCCCCCCCAAATTAGGCCTAGTTTCTTACTTCGATTTTTACTGTAGAAATTTAACTAAAGAATTTTAGGATTAACTTTAAGTAAACGAAGTAATTTTGCCTAAAATAAATCGTAAGCTAGAAATTAATTTTATAAAAAAAGTTACTATTTAAAATTTTAAAAATCCCTTAAAGATATTTTTCGAACATTTTTTTCACAAAAATTCGACTTTTATTTCAAATTTGAACTTCTTTTAAATATAATGTTTTCCAAATTTTAATATAATTATATAAATTAACACTTATTTTGCGTTTAAAAAAATAATAATAAGAAATTAGAGTCCTACATTGTTGACATGGGAAGGGACCATTACCCATACCTCTTCCCCCTCTCACTGATATAGCGATTACCTTATTCGCCGATTCACTTATAAGCCGATTCTTCAATTCACCAATACTCTAACTTGCCAATTCAGAAATTTGCTAAGTACATAATACACTCATTTACTTACTAGCTGATTCCCCGATTCATATGCACACTCTCATATTCAACAATAAGTCAATTCAATTATTCACGAATTCACTGATTCAATAATACACTGACTCCCTGATTTATGAATACTCAAATTCAATGATTTGACTAAATGGTAAATTATGATGATTATATTTGGTTTTTTTACATCTTTTTCTTTATTCATTCGTTATTTCGAGAATCATTCATAATAAAGTTCGCCACAGAGAAATGCGTCAAACTGCAAATATATATACTCTTAAAATTTTAAGTAAACAACATTATTAAAGAAATAATTACTTTTCATAAGATACCCTTCATTTCGATTTTTAAATTCATCATAGATATATACAGGGGCAAAAACAGAACACCCTGACTAACTTTTAATCTATTGTTTAGATTTCCACGTATTTAAAATCAATTTTAATGCTTAGAGGACTTAACCTAATATATGCTAAGTATTCCGTAAACGACATTTTAAAGGTATAAAATCAAACTCAAAAACGTATTTTTTTCTCCATATGAGCATGTCTTTCCCCCCCCCCTAATGAAGTTGAATTCCTGATCCAAAATATACAGTGGGGGAGGGGGTGGTAGCAGCAATCAGGGAAAATGTTTCGGCAGTCAAAAGTTTGGATCCATCAGTGTTAATTTCACTTTTGCAAATTTCGCAATATCTGGAGAACTATGCAAATGAATTGAACAATTTACAAGCAATTTTAAAATACATTTTTCTAAAGATAATTCCACGTTAAAAATAATTTTTAAAATTTATTTATTTTTTATTTAATAGTTGTGTAAAATATTTTTAACTGTAAGGAACATGAGTTAAGCATTATTTTAAAGAAAGTAATTTTAAATAACAAAATGCAAAATATGAACGTAATCAGTCAAATAATTTCTGAGTAATAAAATTTTTATAAATAATCGTATATTTAAAATTTGATTTCTCGAAAACGATCCGAAGTACATTGTTAATGTTGTGCATCGAAAATAACGGTATAGTTGTTTGTAATACTAGGTCTAAATAAGAGCCACTGACCGGTATACATTTGCCCGGTATGCCCTACACAGATATTTCTTGAGGTACAGTGCCACTACCCGGTATATATTTGTCCGGTATGCCCTTCATAAATGTTTTTTAAGGCCAAGTGCCACTGCCCAGGAGGCATTTAACCGGTACTCCATTTACTGATTGTTTCTCCAAATCCATCCCCAGCAGATATTAAAATATCGAATAAATATAATAATATCAACGAATAAATTAATATCAAATCGGATATAACAAATATTTTGGATATTCACCCATGCGAATTGTTGTCATTCATCATTGAAAGTCGACATTCTCTTGATTTTGATTATTCACGGTAACATAATCACACTGTAGAAATTTTTGAAAAATGCGTTTTAAGCGCTCCTTTTTTAGGCATTTTGTGAGACAGAATGAAATAGAAATATCCATAATTTTCACTGTATCCCATAGTATACCCACTTCAATACATCTAGACACCCATTTTATAAATATTACTGCAACCACACGAAAATTAAGAGAATGGTTGCGGATTTTAGTGGTCAAACTATATATTTAATTAAGGTATGAATTTCTGGGTAAAACAGCATTTTTGCTTTATCAATTAGATGAAAGTATTTTAAATAAAAGTAAATTTGTTTTTATAAATTCCATGGCATAAAGGTTAAATACATTTCTAATGGAACCTAATCTTTCAACCGTTAAGTATTATTTCTAATATTTGAGAGTTCACTTTAGGTTAGTATCGGATATTTAATCGTATCTAATCCTTGCAGTCATCGATAATGCTCTCACTGCAGGAAGTTTCAAAAAGCTAAATCTTCTTTAAATAAGTTCAGTGGAGACAAGAAATGTGAGTTTACATCGATGAACGTACGGCGAGATTATAAACGGTTCCACCATTGCAAAATGACATTTACGGACGCAGTAAACTTTTGACGGAGTAATCCGATTAAAATAACTGAACGGTATGGAATGGGAATTAGGCCAGGGATTAAAGAATGTCCTTCAACGAGGTGGATACATTTATGCAGGACGTGTTATTAAACAGAAATGAACTATTAAGGTTGCTCCATACGAAATAAACTTTTAATGAGAAAAATGTTTATTTAAAATCAAGTAACTCTCGGTATGTGTCGTAGAATTAGAGGAATGTCGGACAAAACTGGGTCCCAAAAGTTCAAACGTTTTTTTTCCTAAAAAACTCCACCTGTAAAATTGTTTAAATTAATATTTTGATGACAAAAAAAAAACCTTTAACTCCAAAAATAAAATTTTCTTATTTAAAAAAATTACTTTTTGGTATATATATATATATTTTTTTTTTGGAATTACAACTAAAACTGTTAAGTTAAACACTTGCTATGCATTGTTGTCCACTTATAGAGATCAATGGTCATTTTTTGTGTGGTCAGTAGTCGGTATAGCTGTACTGACTAGAATACCGCAGAAAACTGTACCTGAAGAGCACAGAAACTATACTTTTCTTTTGTGTGGTCAGTAGACAGCCAGTGGTCGCTGTTTTGTTGTTAAATTGTATGAATCATTACAGATGGATGAGTCATTATTTTCTATAATTCCTTGCATCATTAATTTATGAAAAGAATTATGTATGTATGTATAGTATCCTTTAAAAACAAATTTTATAACCGTTGCAGAACAGCCAACCGAATTTTCAGTTTACGGCTATCAAGGTTCAACTACGTAGTCTTTTATCAGTTTTTTAAATCCAATCCAGAAGACATTTGATCTTGACTCAAGTATTAGGAAAAATTTGTCTTCGCAGATGACTTTATGGCGGAACTATCCCACATTTGCGTTACATGGGTAGGAAAACCACGAAGTCTGACGGGAAGGGGACTCTAACTCATGATCCATCTACCACTGAGGATATTTTACGTCAGCACTGTGGTCGGTGCGAGCCGGGTGTGGAATTCGAATACACCGGCCTTCGCTAGGATTGGAAGGCGAGCACTTTATTTAAAAACAAATTAAACAATTCACTAATAAAGCAACTCAACAAGTAGCAGTACTATCAAAAGGTAACATTACAATAGTCTAAAACAACGAATTATTCACCCGTGAATAATTCCTTCAAGATAGAGCGATAATATTAAATATCCGTTAATGACATCTTTACATAATTGCATATTATTTGTTTATTTAGTAAAATGACTCGCAATTATGATTATTTCATTACATGTTTATATTACTTGGAGGCATCGCTCTCCAATCACCGTAAATGCTTATCTGTCACCACTGTTTTTTTCTCCTTTTAAGCGTCAATAATTTCTGCAAAAATACAGAACACTTTGTTTTCAAAATAGACAATTATTGCAGCTTCGTGTAAGAATCTTTTAATTACATCGATTTGAAAATTAATCGTCGGTATTGAAAATTCAAAATATTAACAAATTATAATGAAAATGAAAACATTAAAATTGTGTCTCCTTTATCAAATTATATTGAAAATTAAAATGGTGATTAAAATGGCGTCCCCTATAGGTGGAAAATGATAATGATATGAAATCATATGGAAAATCAAAATATTATCAAATTAATTAAGTGAAGGACATCATTTTAATTAACATTTTGATTTTTTTAAATAAAGAGTTTTCAAAATAATTGTGAATGTGATGAAAAGGTTATGCGGATAATCTTTGCTTTTGTGTCAATGAACTGACTCAAACAGGAAAGGTAAGTCGCATTACCTTCGTGTGCATAACTTCTAATTTTATAGTTTTAAGACCGGAAGCAATTTCAGAACTTCTCGTAGAGAGTTTTGTTATTGCAAGTTTAAAAAATGTTATCTTAAACCTGGAAAGATAAATTTGTTTTTTTTTACTCGTGGTCTAATGTGTATTATATATATTTTTTTTGGTATCACTGAAGGAGAAAATGACTGTAAATTGTTAAAAAAAATATTCATGCATTATTTGGCATCATTGACAGAGAAAACAGTTGTTAATAATTTAAAAAAATATTTTTAGATTATTTAGCGTCATTGAAGGCGAAAACCGCTGTAAATTGTTATAATATGTTTTTACATGATTATTTAATTTATATATTTTAGTATTATTGAAGGAGATAACCACCCTAAATTGTTTCAAAATATTTATATATCAGCATTATTTGGTCTGGTATTTTTAGTATCATTG